ATATGTGTACAGTGGAAAAAAGATATCCAGTTAGGACGAGTTGCGATCTTCCTCTTCGGGTTCTCTGGGTTTTTGGCTTCTAGGGCAGAGGCTTTGGGTATCGTGTTTGCTAGCTACTTCTTACGACTTTAAATTTGCCCCAAGGAAAATCGATATTGCCAGCGCAAACATTTGTGAACTTTTTCCCAACCGTAGTACGGAACCCTACACGCATAGGTGCACAGTAATGAGGCGATATCGCTTTTTTGATTCGTCGTGTATACGCCCGAATCCGGCCACATATTTGTTTGTGACAAATTTTTGCCTTATCTTTGTCTGTCCATTTAAAACAGGCCAAACGTTTTTGAAAGACCTGCACCCCAATGGCTCGTGAATTAATCGACACAACGAATGAGACCCCGTGTAACATAATGTCGGAGAAAATGGAAAAGCCGGTCGTTTATCCGACCGGGATGGCGGCAGACAGGAATTTCTCACTAAAGTTGATCCCAGACCAGAACTTGGTTTTTACGCGTGTTAAATATGTATCTGTTTTCGCCATTACTGCACGGTTGACGGCGGCCTGAGAACCGCTGTTGAAATATTACAAAATACAGTTTATTGACTTTCCCAGAGGGCTTATGTGTCGACAGCGTTAGTTTACCAAATAAGGTTTCTTTCTTTCTCCAAACAGTATATTTGACTTCAAATTAAAAAATATATATTTTGCTACTGTGTGTGATGATGGTTTTGAATGAGATCATGAAACATTATGCTAATAAAGTTCGTGTTCCAGTGATCCTGTCTCCTTCGCGATTTCGCGTGATTCCTTCCTTCCCACCGATATGCATATTCATTCTGATTCTTCGGGTGTTAGTTAGCTGAGCGACAGACTTGCTGGCTGGCTGAAGCGCATGCACAGCTGATTTCCCAGAGGACCAAACCTCCCCTCAGTCCATTTCTAAGTTCGACGTTATCCAGCTTAGGCTAACGTTATAAATGGTCATAAGTTGGCTGTCGGTTAATTGATCTATGTGATGTTTACTTAGCTTGACGGCTAACAATCTGCACGGTCGTTTTAAGATAGGTAAACACGGTAGCAATGTGTTCCATGTTTTTTATGAATGTAAATGTTCTCCAGCATACAACGAGAATAAATTACACTTGTTACCCGGATGGGATATTTGCCTCTGCAGCTAGTCATAAGGCGTGCATCGTAAAAAAAATATCCTGTTGCATACGCCAATTAACCAGGTTTCCCCAGCACACACTTGCTGGCTTCATTTTTTCCATTATTTTTCCGTTGTCTTTTATTTTTTCAATTTTTGTATTTTTCATATCTCGTTCAGTTCTACGTATTTCAACGAAACTATATATAACCCAGTTTACGTCATCACTTTTTAATCTTCTCCGACTTTGGATGCTAAATGTGAATTAATCCGTCGAGATTAAGCTATAGGGGTTCAGTTCAAAAGTTTATATAAATAATTTTCCTAAAGTCCATCAGCCATAGCAAGCTGACCGCATAATATTCATTAAATTCCAACGCGTAGTCAGTAGTATAAACATAGGTCACATGATAGGCCATAATGTCGATCCTAGTGTTAGCTAACTGTCCATGCACGTGCTAAGCCTTTATTCCACAGCTGCGAGGGTCGGCCCATCAGTGCGTTCCCTAGCCCTCGTCATATCCCTTCGGGTGTTAACTCCAGTTTCGAAATTGCTGCTTCTTAATTTGCTCTGTAATTATTCGCTATTCAGAAGTAATCCACTGGAAGCAAACTTTAAATGCTCAGTCGGAAATTTGACATTTATATTTAGGCCATCAGCCACTACGGCATAAGCACAGTTCCAGAACTGGATTATCTAACAGAAAACATACGGGAAGGTTTGTGGGGACCGACCGAGAAGCCGAACCCCTCGGAGGTGTATCGCGCAACGGTAGACTATCAGCGAAACACGTATTTCAAATTAAACCTGTTATCTGTATAGTCTATCATGTAACCCCTATCCTTCATCTAACGCAATCAGTGATCAACTTCAGTATATTTCGTTGTCGCTTCAGACATGCTAGTTTAACGTCCAGAAATGACTGTTTTGCAGCCGGAATAGGGCTTACTATTTACTGCCTTTCCTCCTTCCAGCTTAAAGACTTTTTGCATATCAAAGAAAAATTTAACAACGAATGGTGGATTGGCCGGCCCGTGAAGGAGAACTCGGACGTGGGCTTCATACCGTCACCGGCCAAGTTGGAAATGCTGCGGACGCGTATGCGATCATCAAAATCAGTGACGTAAGTGTCCGATGTTGGTCTCATCATTAACGTAGGATCACAGTATGCTTGCAGCTATTCAATTTGCGCTCGTGCAGCCTACTGAGAGTTCCCTGGTATCCGCCGTTCATTTATTTTGTACATAATCTACAGCAAAGTGTTTCATAATTGTGGCCAAAAACCTCTGCAAAGAGGAGGCTATGCAGAATGACATTATCGAAAAAATAAGGGAACCTGGAATGACCATTTCTAGTTTATTAGCCGTCAGCAGTCAGCCATCCCTAATCCAGATGTTGCGACACTCGATGCACTTTATTATATAAGTCCAAAACGATAACCCACTGCAACGCGAGCTTGTGTTGTCGGTTTTGAGAGAATATTAGCATTCGTTGATGAACGTTCAGCCGAGTGCTAATGAAACTCGTCTGTACCTCTCTGCCTTGGGCCTCCACAGAGGCCCTGACGGCCGTAGCGACTGGTAATATAGACTGATGATATTGCCGTCAAAGACAAGGGAGGCTGAAATTGCCATTTCTGGCTTATTAGCCATCGTCAGCCAGTCATACCCAGACCCAAGTGGTATCCTACCTGACCCTCGAACTCGCGACATTTTTGATCGGAGTCAAACGCCCCAACAATTGAGCCACAAGTACGTTATCTTACCGGCAATATTGTATGCCTATACTAACTTCCGTTACGGCTTTCAAGGTTTCTGTCGAGGGCCAAGGCAGAGCGAAGCAGATGCTTTTCGTTAGCAGTCGGGTGAACGTTCATCCACGAGCGTTAATATCCCCGAACTAAACCGGCAGGACAACGAGCTCGTGGCTCAATGATTAGGGTGTTTGAGTCTGATCAAAAAGGTCACGGGTTCGGGCCTTGTATGGTGCACCACTTGGGGCTGGGTATGATTGGCTGACGACGGCTAATAAGCCAGAAATGGCCATTCCAGTCTCCCTTGTCTTTGCCGGCTATATCATCTGTCAGTATTAGCGTTGATAGATGCACGTTCACTGATCGGTTACGAGCCTTACTCGTACCGTTGTGCCTTTGGTATGACTGGCTGAGAACGGCTAATAGGGCATCCATGGCCACTGCAGCCTCCCTGATTTTTTTGGAGGGGGGAGGAGGGACTTTCATTCTGCCTATATCAGTAGCCGCTGCCCGGCTGTTGGCGAAGCTCTAGGGTGAACCCCAGACAAAAAAGGTACGAGTGAGTCCCGTAGCCGATCGGCGAGCGCGTATCTACCAGTGAAATGCACGTATTGGAAGAAGTTTTCTTTATCT